GCTATTATGTGGCTATTGAATTATCCAGAACAAAGATATTCTCAGCTCAATGTTAAGGAATCAGGGCTCTTTTAGGGACAATTTGTGTTGATACTCACGATCTCAAAGCAAAATCTCTCAAGTAAGCTGCTGTGCTATTTACACACATATATACCTATGACCATCCTAGACAGCATATTAAAAAGCAGAGACATTACTTTGTCAACAAAGGTCCACCTAGTCAATGATATGGTTTTTCCAGTAGTCATGTATGGATGTGAGAGTTGGACTATAAGGAAAGATGAGTGCTGAAGAATGGATGCTTTTGAACTATGGTGTTGGAGCAGACTCTTTGAGAGTCCCTTGGACTGCAAGGAGATCAAACCAGTCAATCCTAAAGGAAATCAGTCCTGAGTATTCATTGGAAGGACTGATGCTGAAGCTGAAACTCCAATAATTTGGCCACCTGATGCAAAGAACTGACTCACTGAGAAAGACCCTGATGCTGAGAAAGAGTGAAGGCAGGAGGAGAAGGGGACGACAGAGGATGAGATGGTTGGATGGCATCACTGACTGGATGGACATGAGTTTGAGCAAGCTCCAGAAGTTGGTGATGGACAGGGAAGCCTGGAATGCTGCAGTCCATGGTGTTGCAAAGAGTTGGACATGATTGAGCAACTGAAATGAACTGATACCTGTTGCCATTTATTCAATCAATTCTCTCAGAAGAGTTAAATCCAGGAAGCTGTCAAATCTGTAAATAAGTTTAAATAATATTATTTTGGTGACATTTTCTGTTTTAAATAGTAGTTAGACATTTATTATTGGAGTAGAGTCAGCGTAACAAGCCATTCTTCCAGATGTAGTGACCACAAGAACACTGTTTTTGTTCACAAGAACATGCTTTTGATAAAGGACTGTAGCTAAGTGTTTATGCTCATGTCTTTTTTGCTGGACAATAAGGCTCAAAGCTCATTTGGGGAGCAGAGGCCAAGCACTTGAGAAGATATGGTTGGTGATTCAAATAGTAGGAGGTTTGATAGGCAGATACTCAATTCATGCCAAATATAAGGAGGGCATGGCAACCCACTCTAGTATTCTTGCCTGGAGAATTCCATGGACAGAGGAGCCTGGTAGGCTACAGTCCATATCACAAAGAATTGGACACCACTGAAGTGACTTAGCACAACACACATAAGATACAAAGTTATGTATTTGGGGTGAGTATGATATGAAAAATAAAGAATTGGCTGGAAAGTTTCAACAAAATAAAAGGAAAAACAAGACAAAAGAAACATAAGCCTGAGAGTAGTACAAGAGCTGCAATCTCCAATAAATACCACTAGTCAGATTCGACTGTTCAGCCCTTTAAATGGGGTAATGCTAATGGAGATGTGCTACACTGTTACATGATATTCAAACTTAAAGACTTAGTGCAAAAAAAAAAAAGGAAAATTTCTCAATAATAATATTGATCGCATGTTGAAATGATAATATTTTGGATTATTGGTTTAAAAGAAATAGAATTAAATTTTATAAAATGATTATTTATACAATGAATTATAAATAAAAATTTGACATCATATGTTCTTTTTTTAATTTTTATTAGTCATTTGTTCTTTATACTTTAAAACATGTGGCTGTCAGAAAATGTAAATTGTATATGTAGTTCACATTACATTTCTACTGGACAGCACTGGAATAGAGAAAAGAGTAAAGGTAAGTGTCCTCTATGAAATATGACAGAAAAATGTGAATAATTATGCATTTCTAAAATTTTTTAAATATATGGAGAAATGAGAGAATGTAAATTGTGTCAAAGACATCAGATTGTGCCATAGTGGTCTCCAAACTTAAGGATAGTTTGGAGTCTGAATGGCAGAAAAACTATTGAGTAATAATTTTTTATTTTATTAGTGTGCAATGCACTTTACAGATAATAGTGGACTTATTACAGGTTAGTATAAAGCAAGATTGTTTATTTTTATGAATTTACTGTAAAAAGACGACTTTGTGCCTTTACAAGAAAATCAGTTGGAAGAAGTCTCCAGATTCTTTAGATAAACCTCAAAGCTGAGTAAGACTATGAGAAGGCAATGATGTTGAAGTCCTTCTGAGATTTAAGCTGGTCTACAATACATAAAGACCTGAGAAGTTTAACTATATTTATGCTATTTTTCACAAGAAGTCATAGCAACATTTGTACTTCCTAGAATTCTCCAAGGAATTCATTGAAATTTTGTTAAAAGGATTGTTTTTTAAATCTCAACCATGAGAGGATCTAGACAAATCTACACATCTCTGCCTCTGCCACACGCCTTTGCCCACTCTCATTGAAGGCAAAGTATGGTTGTCTTTTTCATCAAAGAGACTGAATGAGTGTGGACTGGTACTTAAGCTTTCCACCTATTCCAACAAGCTGAGTGTTTCCTTTCACTCTGCATTTGTTTAGTTGGCTCAAATGGAACAGATCTTAGGCTCTGGATAAATATGAACATGTGTGTCTTTGAAAGGATTTGAGAATGAGTCCAGACTAATAGAACTGGAACTACTTTATCCTGGGCAGCCACTTACCATTCTTCCCACTGGGAAAAGAAAGAGATTCAATTACTGCTAGGGCTTTTCCAGCATTCTGAGTGAAGTAGGAAATGAAGGCACTTCTGCCTCTATCATCCAGTATTTCAGGTGGGGTTTTGAGCTAAATTGTCTTCATTCTCCACAGGCCTCTATGCCAAAGTTAACAGCTGGTCAAATCCCTTTGGCATAAGGATTCATTTCCTCTTCTACATTGCTACATCCAAACACTTTCTGGCCTCAGAAGTGAACCTAGAGCCTGTCATACAGAGGGAAGTAAGTCAGAAGGAGAAAAACAAATCTGTATATTAATATATATGTATGGAATCTAGAAAAATGATATTGATGAACATATTTGCAGGGCAGGAATGCAGATGCAGATATGAGAATGGACTTGTGAACACAGGGGAGGAAGGAGAAGGTGGGACAAATTGACAGGAACATCATCATATATACACTATTATTTGTAAAATAGATGGCTAGTGGGAAGGTAATACACAGGAAGGTCAACTCAGTGCTCTGTGATGACCTAGGGTGGTAGGATGGGGTTACGGTGGCGGGGGGACGGAGGCTCAAGAGGGAAGGGGATATATGCATACCTACAGCTGATTCACATTGTTGTGCAGCAGAAACCAACACAACATTGCAAAGCAATATCCTCCAATTAAAAAACAAATTTAAAAAAATACAAAAAGAAGTGAATCAGGAAGGCCTCAACGTGTCAACAGTTGCAATCAATCTCTTTCCTGCACATTGCATGTTACCTGGTGGTTGTCAGTACTTTCACAAACATTGCTTCAGTTGACCCTCCTAATGAACTCTGGTATTGAGAAGGTAGATAACTGCTAACTCTGATTTTGCCTTAGGATCCTGAGTACACACTTCCGCACTGGATGCCTTGTTTTGAAAATGTTGCTGAACGCTCCCAAGGGTGACAGACATAGTGCAAATGAGGATTCAGTCAAACTGGTTAACCTTGGGTGTGTGCCACTGTCCAGGATTTCTTCATTTCCACGGGCTTCCCATCTCTCATTTTTCTAGCTTCTAGCTGCAATCATATCTCACTGTCCCAAGCAAAAGTTCAGAAGTCCCTCATCGATGAGTCCTCAGGAGCAGGGGAAGCTCTCTTAACTAGGTAAGAGCAAGACTTAGCACAACTGGGAGGCAGGCTGGGCATGGTAGCCAGGTATAGGGCTCTGCACTGAGGCTTCCTGTGTTCCTGTCCTAGTTCTGTCACCTCTTGGCTCTGTAACCTTGGGCAGATCTTTAATCTCTCTAAGCTTTTGCTAATTTCATTGACAAAATGAGGATAATAACAGTAGCTGTTTCAATGGCATTTCTTTGAGATCTAAATAACATACATGAAGCATTTAGAACAGGGCCTGGCGCAAGCTGAGCCCTCAATACACATTAGCTATTATTAATTTCAAAAATGGTTTTAATTACATAACATTTATAGCTGTAAAATCATCTTCAACCAGATAGCAAGTTTATGGAAAGCTACTGAACTGCAAAAGTAAACTCTGAATTTCTCTAGAAATATGTCGTTAATTTATTACAATAAAGGTTCTCTGATGTGACTCTCATGCTCGTTCTTAGATTAAAAAAAAAAATAGTGAAAGAGCTTACACTGTGATTAATGCATTATATGTCACTAATTCTCCCTACAATCCTATAAGGTAGGCTCTTTTATTATTCTAATATTACCAGCAGGAAAAATGAGAGACAAAGCTACTGAATAACATGCCCAAGGTCAGAAATCTTGTTCATGGTGAGCCTGGACTTCAAACTCAGACCGCTGAACTGCTGCTCTCCTTTGATGAGTTACTCTGCATTGTGATGTTGGTCAAACTGCTTTGAGGAGGCATGCTTTTAAGCTCTGCTAAGGAAGAGACACTGCACATTCAAATGTGCAAAATTTGCCTTGGGTTGTTCACAAGAGAGGTAGTCACATCATTTGAAACTCACCATAAACCTGTTTTCACATCACTTGAAACACACCATAAACCTGTTTGTTTGAAGCTTCATTGTTCATTGCTCTTGTTTATTTTGTGGGATGTTGGAGGAGATTAAAGAGTAACTCCACTTTTAGCTTCTCCATGGTGTGGAGAATCATAGTGTCCTCTGAATCTTTATATATCCTGGCAACTCACAGGTAAGCAAAGATTTAAATTAAGTGAAAATCCTGGATTAAAATAAGATAAAAAATAAGCCCTCATACTAGTTCATTTCATATCTGAAACTGGACTATGTCGGGGCAGTTTCTATGTGAAAAAATAGATCAATAGTGTTTGGAGTTAGCTCATTGTATTTACTCCCTTCCACACAGTCTCAGCTTTCTCAGGATGTTATTAAAGTTTTCACTGGGGGACTATTTCATTTCATTAATCAGTTTTGACATGTGACAGTTTGTGGTTATTAAATGTTCTCTATCAGGCATTCCCACCATGTGGCTGTTTTTAACAACAGCCTATTTGATTTGTGGAAATTTAAACGCTGCTGGATTCTTCAATTTGGAAAAAGAAGCGAATCCTGAAGTGTGGATGAATATTGTAAGTATTGGAGAATTCCAAAGAACATCCAATAAAGCAAATCAATAGGTGGTAGGATTATTGAAGTTCCTGTTATAGCAGAAAATCTCTGATATAGATAAAAACAAGTGATTTTTAGAGATTTGCTGGTGGCTGAGACAGTAAAGAATCTGCCTGCAATGTAGGAGACCTGAGTTTGATCCTTGGGTAGGGAAGATCCCTGGAGAAGGAAATGACTGCCCACTCCAGTATTCTTGCCTGGAGAATCCCATGGATGGAGGAGCCTGGCGAGCTACAGTCCATGGGGTCTCAAAGAGTTAGACATGACTGGCAACTGAGCACACACAGATTTTAAGCCCTCTGGGATGATATATGTGACTGCCGTCCACTGGACTGTGGTTTTATTACCTTTTAACCAAGAGCAGTCTCACAGATGACATTTATATATATATATATTTATATATATATAAATGTCAATTGTTTCATATATATATATGTGTGTGTGAGTCACTTTGCTGTACCCCTGAAACTAAAACAACATTGTTAATCAACCATACCCCAGTATAAAATAAAATCTTTAAAAAGATGAATATGTACATTTTGTGTATACACAATGGAACTTTACCCAGCCATAAAAAGAATAATGCCATTTGCAGTTATATTGATGGACCTAGAGACTATCATACTATGTAAGTCAGAAAGAGAAAGACAAATAGCATATGAAGTCACTGACAAATGAACTTATATATGAAACAGGAGCAGACTCACAGATAACAGACTTGTGGTTACCAAAGTTGAGGGGGGGTTAGAGGAGGGTTTGGGATTAGCAGGTGCAAGCTATTATGTGTAGAATGGATAAACAACAAGGTTCTATTGTCTACTGTCTAGCACAGGAAACTATATTCAATATCTTATAATAAACCATAATGGAAAAGAATATGAAAATATATATATATAATACATATATAGCATGTGTATAAAACTGCATTACTTTGCTATATACCAGAAACTAACACAAATTTGTAAATTAACTACATTTCAATTAAAATATATCTATATGTACTTAAAAAAGACAACTGACTTGAGAATATAGCTTTGTCAGAAGAATGGGTCAAAGATAGATATTATCTTCAACTCCCCCAAAAAATTTACCACTAGCAGACATTTTATAATAGTCTACTTATTTTTTTAATCATGACTTTACGTAGTAAATTAATCTCACTGTTACCTGGGGCTGCAGATTTCAGACAATTTACCCTAATAAGCACACACTAGCTGCTTTGTTCTAGCTCCTTTTGATAACCTTTAGAGAAAATGTTTAGCTAATGATTCTGTTTTACTGGGCAGAATGAAATCATCACCTATAATGGCTACCCCAGTGAGGAGTATGAAGTAACCACTCAAGACGGGTACATACTCAGCGTCAATCGGATTCCCCATGGGCGAAAAGACACTGGGATCACAGGTACAAGACATGTCTATCTTGAGAAGGAGAATTGCACATGACTAAAACTTAGTACTGGCTGTTCATTAAGATAGTGACTGATTTATCAAAATTGGTTTGAATTTTGGATTAGTTTTTATATAGTTAACAGGAAGTCTCATTGTTTTCCAATTCTCTGAAGGCAGGCAAGAACCGAAAATTACAAAGGGTAGAACTGATCTAGTTGACTGCTGCCAGACTTGCTTCTTAGGGAGTCAGTGTGGAGGTGAAGCCTACATTATGTCAGCTCATTACTTATTTCTCATGTGAGAAATTGCTGTATTCCCATAAAGTGGATTTCCTCATTGTTGGAAAGAGATTATATGTACGCGTCAATCCCAATCTCCCAATTTCTTCCACACAACCCCCTTTCTCCCTAGGTATCCATGTGTTTGTTCTCTACATCTGTGTCTCTATTTCTGCTTTGTAAATAAGATCATCTATACCATTTTTCTAGATTCCATATATATGTGCTAATATATGATATTTGTTTTTCTTTATCTGACTTACTTCACTCTGTATGACACTGTCAGTCCATCCACATCTCCCAAATGACCCAATTTCATTCCTTTTCATGGCTGAGATATATTTTATCATATACATGTACCATATCTTCTTTATCCATTCCTCTGTTGACAAACATTTGGGTTCCTTCCATGTCCTGGCTATTGCAAACAGTGCTGCTATGTATCCTTTTGACCTATGAGGGAAATGTAACCACAAATCATCTGAGGAGCGAGAGAGAAGAGTAAGCAAAGTATCTGCAAAGGCTCAGTGGTCTTTATTTACCAAATCATTTACTGTGATTGCTCTGCATTATCTCATCTCCCATCCACATTCAGAGGCAGCTAAAATCATGTTGCTTAAGAATTCAAGAGTTTCAGAATGAAAAATGGGAGCGCGACATGGGTAGGATTACTATATAAAATATGAGGTGCCCAGTTAAAACTGAATTTCAGATAAAGAGCAGATGAGTTTTTCATGTCTCATTTTATGATATACTTATATTAAAAAGCTAGTTCATTGTTAATATGAAATGTAAATTTAACAGGGCATCCTGGGTCTTTTTGTTTACCTTTATTTTTGTTTTTGGCTCATCTTGCAACACCAAGCGTGATGAGGAGTTGTGGGGAGCCGCTATGAAATATAAAAGGAGAAACATTTACAGGAAAGACATTGCTTAAGAAGGGAGAATAGAATTTGGGCAAGATTGGGAATTAAAATATATTTATTATGTGTCTCTTTTTTGATTTGGGTTTTTTTTCCAGTGGGGTGTGTGTGTGTGTGTGTGTGTGTGTGTGTGTGTGTGTGATTCTTATGTTTCTCAGATGCTTTAGTTATAAATTTCTGTCTCTGCCTTCTTGCCTCCCTCTAGGTGCCCGACCAGTTGTATATATGCAGCATGCCCTGTTTTCAGACAGTGCCTGCTGGCTTGAGAATTTTGCCAATGGCAGCCTTGGATTCCTTCTAGCTGATGCTGGTTATGATGTATGGATGGGAAACAGTCGGGGGAACACTTGGTCAAGAAGACACAAAACACTCTCAGTGAATGAAGAGAAATTCTGGGCCTTTAGGTAAACTCTATCTAAGAAAGGCCATGAACACAATTTGAGACAAGTCCTTTAAATGTAATAGTGTGGATGGTATTCATAATATGTATGACACTTGGGGTCACTTAGCTCCTTGCAGTCTCTACTAACAGCTCAAAGGAGATAAACAGCTGCGAAGTCATCTCAGTCATGTCCGACTCTGTGTGACCCCATAGACAGCAGCCCACCAGGCTCCCCCCTCCCTGGGATTCTCCAGGCAAGAACACTGGAGTGGGTTTCCATTTCCTTCTCCAATGCGTGAAAGTGAAGTCGCTCAGTCGTGTCTGACTCAGCGACCCCACGGACTGCAGCCTACCAGGCTCCTCCGTCCATGGGATTTTCCAGGCAAGAATACTGGAGTGGGGTGCCATTGCCTTCTCCAAGATAAATAGCAGGAAGCTCTGATTTACACTGATTCTTCGACAAGTGAATTATCATTTCAACAAAGTCATTTTAACATACATTTCTATCTAATACAAGGTATGTCTCAAACGAGAGCTTAGAAAATTCCTGGTACAACGTATGCACTCATTCAGCCAATATTTATTGAGTGCCTTTCCTATGTACTGTTCTAGTCCCTGAGCATCCAAGAGCAAACAAGCCTCCACCTTCACGAAGCTTATATTTTTATCCTAGTGATGTTATTACAATTTTTTCTTCTCTTGGACTGTCAATTCGTTTTGCAAAGATGTTGTGTATCAGTACTATATTTTACCTATAGGAACTGTGGATGAGAATGTATAGAATACCATTTTCAGGAAAACTCTAATATGAGATCTTTACAACCTTGTTAATAGGCAATAGGAAAGAATCTTTTGACATGCTGACTGCTTGCTTTAATGAAAGTGTTTTCTTCTGTCATCAGAGAACAGGCTGATGCCTGCAGTGAGCATCCTTTCTCAGGCTTAAACTCCCTGGTTGTTTGAAGCCTGCTGCTAGAACAGAACCATATTAATGAAATATTCCATACCTTATTTCTGTACCTACTGACAAGTTGGAAGCAAAGGAAGAATAGGCCAATTAGGGTCAGAGCTTTTTCCCAGGGGCAAGCATCGGGAAATATTTTGTGCAGCTGATCCTTGGTTGGGAACTTGCAGCTTGTTTACTGTAAGGCATCACAACGATTCTCTTATACTGGAAAGTACCAATATATATTTCCTCTTATGTTCCTTTAATAAGCAGGCCCTTAGTTTGTGAAGTACCTAACTCAACCGTATATTATTTAGGCATTTTTTGTTCTTTCAACATTTGTATTAGTGTTGGCTGAACCAGTACTATAGGATTTGGGTATATATTGAATATAACCGTATATGGACAGAAATAATAACAGCAACATCTGACTGAATGTCTAATTCCTGCTAGAGTCATTCCTTTAATACTATCCAGCCCCAGTAACTCCCCTGCCATAAAGCACTATCATGCTTATTTTACAGATGATGAAATTTAAGCTCAGAGCATTTAAGTAATTTACGGAAAGCTACTCAGCTAGTACACGATACAATCATGATTTACAACCACTTCCATTTTGAAATCTGGGTGTTAAATGGCCCTAAGCATCTTGAAGTTCCCTGGGAGAGACTGAAAGAGAGGCATGCAAACCAGGTAGGTAAAGGGCAGCAAAAGAAATGCAAGAGAAGGGAGTGAAGAGGAAGAATGACAAGACAATTTCAGAAAATGTAGTATACACAAGGTATGTCTTGAAATCATTCCTGCTATTAGAAAGTAATGCATATAAGTGCAGCAAACAAAACCCACAATAGCCTACATGTAACTGGATAAATAATGAAACACAAACCAAGTGAGTGGACAGCACAGAATTCTGTGTATAAAAAATAAATGAGCAAGTGCTCTGCTTTGAACTTAGCTGCGAATATTTATAAGGTCCTGTTTTATTCCTCAGCTTTCATGAAATGGCCAAATATGATCTCCCTGGAATCATAGACTTCATTGTCAATAAGACTGGTCAGCAGAAGTTGTATTTCGTTGGACATTCGCTTGGTACTACAATAGGTATGTTTACAAGGGTCAACATTTTTACAAGGGTCAGAGCCACACAAGAGTTCACCTTTGAGTCAGGAACAGAGTCACTGTTTTACATTTATAGTGTCCTTAATTCTATGTCCTGTGATGGGAATGTAACTCACTGTAAACCTGAATTCCAGACACTGTGAGTTCCTAGGAAGAATCTTTCATCCATTTCCGGTCACTGCAGCACATTTGTAATGTTAATTTGCCAGGAATTCCAAAGAAATACTTCCGAAGACTGAGTCTCTCCTCCAGGCTGAAAAAGTAAAGCCAAAAGGCATGAAATATCCTTGAAGAATGTTAAATATACACCAGTCAAACCTTCCTCACAACCAACATGGGATATTAAAAAATAAAAAAGAGGGCTTATATTCATATTTGAACAAATTTAAAAAGATATAGTAATGTTTTCTTTGTGAATCAGAATGCAAAAACTTACTATAATAAGTAAATTGGGCATATACATTTAGTGTATGATTCATGGGTGGCGCTAGTGGTAAAGAACCCGCCTGCCAGTGCAGGAGACATAAGCAACACGGGTTTGATCCCTAGCTCAGGAAGAGCCCCTGGAGGAGGAAATGGCAACCCACTCCAGTATTCTTGCCTGGAGCATCCCATGAATAGATGAGCCTGGAGAGCTACAGTCCATCGGGCCACAAAGAGTCGGACATGACTGAAGTGACTTAGCACACAATTAACTATAAGCACTTATATATATAAGTATATATAAGAAATATACTTTGAATGTATACTTCTTAATGGTTTCCCAGATTTTTCAAAAAAGAAATCAATAATCTAGCTCCAAATAAAAATGTAAAAACCTGATACTACTAAAAATATGAATTTGTTATCAATCTTCCACTAAAACTTCTAATTTTGAGAGACTGGGTTAAATGAAAATGCACTCTTAGTTTGGGTGAAACTGTGTGAGAGATAATAAATAATCCTATATTACCACTATTATCATCAAGAACAAACATGTATTTACCAGTGTTTTATACTGATAAAGAGAAAATGAAATTTGCTCAGTTGTGTCCGACTCTTTGTGAGCCCATGGACTATACAGTCCATGCAGTTCTCCAGGCCAGAATACTGGAGTGGGTAGCCTTTCCCTTCTCCAGGGGATCTCCCCAACCCAGGAATCGAACCCAGGTCTTCCACATTGCAGGCGGATTCTTCACCAGCTGAGTCACAAGGGAAGCCCATTTATATTGATAGGCAGCTTACAAATTTAGGAGAGGCAGTGAGGGTGTGAGTGTTGTTTCCCAGGTGGCGCTAGTGGTAAAGAACCCATCTGCCAATGCAGGAGACGTAAGAGACCCGAGTTTGGTCCCTGGATCAGGAAGATCCCCTGGAGAAGAGCATTGC